CCACCGGAGCGCCCACGGCCGGGGCAAGCCGCCCTCCTGGAGTCAGCGGCAGGCCCCAGCGCGGCGGAGCCTCTACCCCACGCTTCTTCCCTAGGCGGCCACGCTGCCCCCAGCCAGCTTTCCCGGGCCCTCGAACATCTGCTACCACAACAGTTGCTGCCTGTTCTGAGGCTGTTCGGGAAGGCTCGGCGACGCAGTGTGTGGGCCGCTGCAATCAATCACACCTCTGTTTCAGCATCCGACCCCTCCTCACTTCTGCTTGAATGTCTCGCTTCTGTTTGAAGCACTGTTGAGAAATACAATTTGTTGCTCTTTCAAGCTGACCAGCCTGGAGTTAAAAATATAGCAAGGACCGTGACAGGCAGGGGCACGCCATTCAGCGGGTCATCTTTAATTGTTGCTTTTTTCTGAAATCTTTGCTCACACACACACAATCCGTGTCTAAGTGGCCCTGCATAGCTTGGTCTCACTGGGATCAACCAGGGCTTGGTGGGCAAACCGGGTCTCAAAAAAGCAGTAACCCATCACGTCAGCAAGGTCCCGCTAATGAACAACTCCTGTGCTCAGGCTGGGCCCCGCCCTTGATGGCACCCATTGCCACTTTGCCAAAGGGAGGCTGTGGCTCCACGTAAAACACCAGGCAGAAGGGGACTCAACAGAGCACACAGGGAAAGCCGTGTGGGGAGACCAGCAGACTCGGCAGTGCCAGGCAGCCGGAGCCCCTGGATGCCTTCGAGCGGCCCGCTCTGTGAACGCGGTGGCTGCAGTGGCAATTACGGGAGGGCGGGCCTTTCTGGACTAGGTCCTTGAGTCACTTCTCCTCGGGAGGCTCTCCTCTCTACGGTCACCCTCCCTTACTCAGGACCCACATCTCTGCCTGCGAGCTGCGCACTGAGGTTTTACGAAGACGTGAGCAAAGACCGTCTGAAAGCAATTTGTCCACGCCCCGCCCCCTCAGGACGTCGGCCTCACTGCTATGAGAGACAAGAGCCACTGCTGCCAGCCAGCTGGAGAGCTGCGTGCTGGGGATGAAGCTGGGGAGTGACAGGCAGCCAGAGGGGCGTCCGGTGGACTCCCAGGGTCCTTTCCACCCCAGTTCCACAGGTGACGGACGTTAAGACGAGAATGCTCACACACAGCGAACTTCCTCTGGCAACGGCCGTTCCGATTCGGTCACTATTTCACACCCCTCGGCTCTGAGTATGGAGCTCACCACAGGCTGAGCTGAGCTGCAGGGCAGGCCTGTGGCCAGCAGGCCTTCTCCCCGTTTTCAAAAGGAAAGGACAAGGCAAGAAGAGGAACAAACGAGAAGTAAACAGCAAGGACAGAAAAGGGAGGGTGAAACCAGAACAGAAAAGATGGACGAGTAAAGGAAAAGGGAGGACTTATAATGCATTGGGGGTGCATCCTGGGAATGTCACCTTCTCGTCCCAGTTCTGCCTCTGGAGTCACGTATCCATGCCTTCCCTCCCGAGTCCTGCAAGTGTGACCATAACAAGTGTTTGTCAGCACTCACTGTGTGCCAGCCACCACACTAGGTGACGTGTGTGTAGATGAAAACACAGACACATACGTATTAATAGATGGATACAGAAACACACACAGTTATGCATTCACCTCCAAATACAGACACACACGTACATGGGCACACAACACGTTAACACATCACACACACACGCGCACATGCGTGTGCACACGCTATTCCCTTATTCCTCCCAACAGTCTTGGTGGTGGTGGTGATGGTATTTGCTGCACGAAGATGTAAGCAGTTCGCCCAGGCTGCCAGCCTCCTGCCCTGTCTCTGGAGGCCTGATTTGTCAATGTCCCTATTACATGTGGATTTAAGGGTGAACATATTCCAGAAGGGTATGTTTCCTTGGGGGGTTGGGGGGGACTGAAATGGACAAGACCCAAGGTCACAGCTACCTCTGACACCCTCTGCAGCTAGCTCAGGGCCTGTACCTCAGAGCAGTGCCCCACCCCAGGACACCTGCTTCTGCTACGCTCGCGAAGGTGTGCGCAGGAGCAAGGCCTGGGACTTCAGAGTTGTCTGTCCTCCCCTGCTGGTCTGAGTCCCTTGGGTTCTCTCCCTGGTCCCTTTTCTGCTGACAATCTGGAGGGCTCTGGCTACTGTCGTCGCCCTGGGCCCTTTGCCCCTGGCGCTCACACACACACCCGGCGCGGGGTCTGCTCTGGGCCCTGCAGGCTTGAGCCCGTCAGCACCTCAGGGAGTCAGCGTTTGTCACAACACCCAGTCGCTCCAAAGGTCTGAAAAGGCACTCTGCACCTTCAGCCTGAGTCTCACATGCTCCTAGTCTCAGAACCCCCACACACAGGGGCCCCTCTATAAGAACTCCCTCTCCACAAATACATATGTAAAGCAAGATCAGAAGACTGTGAGAGACAGCCCAGGACTCAGCCTGAGGAACCAATGACAGGACGCACGGAGCAGCGCCCGCCCTCGGCACGAGCCTACCTTTCCAGGGACGGCCGACCCTGCTCACTTCCTGGCAGTCACGACGGTCGAGTAAAGTCGCAGCCCCAGGAGGCAAGGGTCTGTGTGCAGTAACTGCCACATCAGCTGTCATTAAGCCGTGACCAGGTCCCTGAACACCAGGAACACACCAGCTCACAGGGTCCCCAGCACAGGGCCCCGCGTATTCCAGGCTGGGTCCAGACCTCTTCAAATGCACAGGAGCTGCTTGGGGCCTGGTTTTCAAGGCTTCTGGCAAAGCAAGGCCCATCTCCCCAGGCCATAAATCACCCAGTGGGGAGCCCGAGCAACAGAGCCCCCTGCAGGGAGGGCTGGCCAGGCCTAGAGCCTTGGTGGGGGAGCACTCAGGGTCCATCCCCAGGGTGCTGGCCGCGACCCTTGGGCACGCATGCTTCCCAGAGGCCCGCCTGGATCTGCCCTACCCCCGCCTCGGCCAGGGAAAGGCAAGCAGGGCCAGGGCAGCCTCCTCAGGACCTTGGAGGCCTGCCTGGAGCCAGTGAAGCAATCTATACATCTGGGCACGGCCCCGCCGAGCAGTATGTTTTCAAACGGTTTCTACCCAAGTGAGGACGGGAAACGGCTCCGGTGATGCCAGCGGTCTTATTCCAACTTGCGGCTAGTAAAATATAATAACACGTGTACGTTGTTTTTATTACCTATCTAGCTTATTAGCTAATAAAATAAGCTCAGCATTAAAAATTTAACTGAAGCCGTTTATCACACCCAGATCTCAGGGCTCTGGGTTTCCTTTAGAAGTCGCCCAAACCTGTCACCTTTCCAGCCTTTTCACCTATTTAAATTTCTCCAGAGAAGAAAAATTCCACCCGTGTATCCAACGTAAATGAATGCGTTCAATCGTTGTCTAGCCGTAAAGTCCTCAGGAAAAAGAAAGGGACACACCTGGGGTGGCGATGGAGGGAATGGAAACTGGAAAGTGGGGGTGGGGGGGGTGGAGGCAGAAGATGGAGGTGTGCCCGGTCCTCCCCTGGGTTCTCCCCGGAGTGAACTCCACGGGCACGGGGAGGCAGGAGCACATCACGCGCCTACACTCTGCTGCCCCAGGCTGGGGCCCGGGAGCTCGAGCAGGGGTGCCGGAAAGTCTGGACCCTGTGCGCTCTAGACTTGAGATCCTGCACCTCTTTTTTTTTGTGAGGTGGGGACTGGTGGGGCATGCGGGGGAGAGAGAAGGAAACTACATAAATGGAAACCCCATTTTCTTTCTGAAATGAAAGGCGGCCCGGCTGAAAAAGCAGCACTGGGCACCGCAGGAAGGCAGCAGTGCTGGCCTGAATGGCAGTGGACGTGACGAGCCTGCCGGCCCAGATGTGGCCACACGCTGCACGAGCAAGGCTGACCCCTCATGCCAAGTGGGTCTCCTTCCCCATTAAGACCAGCAACGACCATCACTTACACAAGACCAGAAAAGACGATGGTCAAAGCACAGCCCCATGTACCCAAGGGCTACCTGGACGCAGAGCCCAAATCATTACATTCTACCCACCATGTTCACCACCCTTGAGTGGATGGGTTACAAGGGCCAATCACCTGCTCCCTGGGCCCCACCATCATGCTCTCGTCCTGGCCTGCCCAGGAAGAGCCAAGAGCAGGCAGCACTTAGGCTCAGAGATTCTCCTGATGACAGTGTATTAACTCCAAGTCCATTTCTTTCAAAGCAATACCCAAGTTCAGCATTGGCACAAAGCAGGGCTCCAAGACACAGGGGACAAGGTGTAAGTGACAGGGGCGTGCAGCTGGAGGCCTCGCCTACAATGAAGGGTGAGGATGGTCACAGAGGTGGCACAGAGGGTAGTGAGCAGTTTCTTGAAGATTTCACATTTGGGGCAGTTTAATTTAAAAAACAAGTGCCTCCCCCATCTCTCTCTAAGACCATTACCCATGACCCTGATCTCAGGATCAGCCTAATCCCAGCGACGCTGAATTCGGCCTCTGCAGCATTTCTTATAGCGGCTGCAGGGAGGGCTCAGCACGGTGCCGGGAAGAAGGGGGTCACCTGGGCTTGGTGACGCTTGTTTGTTTCCCGACGCCCTGCCTCTCACCATCTGTCTAACGCTTGTACCACCAGCACTGTGTTCACAGGGAGAGCGCGTTTCTGATTTCAAATGTAGAGAAAATGATTTTATCTTTCTTTGACTAGGATTTAAAGATACAAGGAATTACCCACTAAGAGTTTCTGACTCGGGCCCCCGCGCTTGCCCGGCACGGGCCTGGACCGGCTGAGACTCAGGGAAGCACCCATGTGCCCCTGCGGCACCTCCACACGGCCGGGCTCTGACCTGCACCATCTTGGCGAGGTCGAGGGACGGCCTCTCCTCCTGCGCCTCTGCCAGGCGGAAAGCACCCAGGAGCCCCTGCGGCACCTCCACACGGCCGGGCTCTGACCTGCGCCATCTTGGCGAGGTCGAGCGACGGCCTCTGCTCCTGCCCCTCTGCCGGGCGGAAAGCACCCAGGAGCCTGTGCGGCACCTCCACACGGCCGGGCTCTTACCTGCGCCATCTTGGCGAGGTCGAGCGACGGCCTCTGCTCCTGCGCCTCTTCCGGGCGCCGCCGCTTGACGCCGACCTTCTTGTCGTTGAGCACGCACGGCTGGGAGCGGCTGCGGGCAAGCCCGCTGGGGCGTCGGACCAGCTCCGGCGTTGAGGCAGGTGTGCTGCTGGCCGAGGGCGCACTGTACTCCGCGAAGGAAAACCGCTCATGGGAGCAGGACAGGGACCGCTGCATGTCGAGCCGACCCCCTCCCGCAGGATTCGCGTCGGGGCTCCAGATGTCGCCTGCCTGTCCACGGGTGGCCGAGCCGGGCGCCCCTGGGCAGGGCTGGCCTCCGAATCGGTGGTGGAACCCCGCCGGGTCGTAGGGCGAGGACAGCACGTTGGCGCGGGAAGGGAGGCTGAAGCTGGAGCTTCTCTGCATGGTGCCGAAGCCGCTGGAGTAGCGCTGGACGCTGCCCCCGCTGTAGCAGCGTCTCTTTTCCACCGGAGTCCAGACTTTGGACCCCAAGGGCCGCCAAGATGTCCGGCAGCTGGACATTTCATCCGAGAAGGACAGTGACCGGCACTGGCGCTTGCTGGGCGGGGCAGAGGGGTTCCCGTTGTGGTCGCTGAGGCTGAGGCCTTTGATCAGGTTAGTCACCGTGCAGGTGTTCGCTGCCTCCCGGTGCCACAGAGTGCCATCCTGACACTGCTCAGGCAGGCACTCCCAGATGCTGGCGCTCGGCTGGTCAACCTGAAGAGGGCATTTCCTGTCCAGGTCTCGCCATCTGTCATTTTCTGGTTCACAAATGACAAAGAGAAAACAGGATTGGAGAAGCCCTTCATGCCAGCCCTCTGTCTCCTCAGCCAGAGCTCGTTTTAAACAGGATTCGGGAGCCAGAAGAAAGGCCCTTAAAAACCATCCAGTCCAACCTCACTTTACAGAGGAGAAACTGAGGCTCAGGGAGGGGACGTAAGTCCCAGGTGTGGACCCAGAGGCAGAGGGTGGCCTAGAATCCAGGTACCCCCTGGTCTCCTGATGCGTTCTCTTTTCAGCATACCATGCTGCCTCCCAGGAAAGCCTAAAGCAGTACTTTTCACCCAAAACGCTTCCTCATTTTACAGCTGGGAAACCGACCTGCTCCACCCCCGCCCTGGCACCAGCGGTTTTGGGCAACATGTCTGCCAGGTCCTGTCTCCCTGCTCTGAGGCTCTTGGGCTGGGACTTGATGCCCAAACAAAAGGCCATGACCAGAGATGTGTCTTTTGGTGCTTCAAAGGATTGAGGTCAGAGGGGATGAGGTGCTGCCAGGTGAGTTCGTCTGAACTCCATCTCTAGAACACTCTAGAACTCTGGTAACAGAAACAATATTTTACTGGTTTACGGCCCCTCCTCCACCAAAACGGTCCACAACATCCACGACAACAGCTGCCAATCACTGAGCACTCCCCTTGTGTTCACACGATTTCATGCTGAGATCAAGGATGTTTGAAGTGGTTAAAACCTATAGAACCACGTCTTGGGCTGCACAGACGTAAAGGCACAGTTTAAACTTACGTGTCAGCTTGCTACTTGCATGCATGAATAAATAAGCTAACCCCGCTAGGAAATGCTGACTTTGCACTTGAACCTTTATTTTAGTGAAATATTCAAGAACTACTTGTTTTCGTACCATGGAATCGGGCACTGTGCTGACAGTTCTAGGAGAACCAAGATGAGTCTGACACAGTCCCGTATTCGAGTTCGTAATGCGAAACCCAAGATAAGAAACACGTGGTACCGCTGGGGATCGACAGGCTGGCACGTCCCAGTGTTTCCTCATCTACACGGACTCATAAACTGCCCGAATGTGGACACAGAGCAAACTCTGGCCTGAGTCAGGAAGTCAGTAGGAGAAGTAAAACCTGAGATGATAGTCGGTAGGTACTTGATGCACCCCGATTCTCACAGCACTGCAATCAATTACTGAGCATCCACTGTGGGTGGTGTAACCCACACAGAGCCCTGCATACATATGGCTGCCGTTGCTGCCCAAATGGAGAGACCAAGGCTTGGGGGTGTGTTGAGTAAGTGGCTTAGGGCCACACGGCGAGCAGGATGCAAACCCAGGCTGGCCCGTGCCCTCTTTCCACTACACTACAGCCCTGAGGGGGCCTGCAGGGTAACCTGACATTGGCCCTGCCCTCAACGACTGTATGAGTCATTCAAAATGGGCCATATGCTAAGAAAATTGTGCTCTAACCTACCTACGCCAGTGCTCCAGGCAGCAAAGACTACACATCTATCTATTTCCACCAGGGGCTACTTCTCCGAGGGCACTGAGAGACACCCAAGGGACTGACCCTGTGCTGAGTGTCACGAGCAGCAGCTGCTTGACAGGTTCAAACGGAATGACCAGTGAGGCCCAAAAGAAGCTTCGTGAGCCAAAGGTTAGGCCAAATCAGGGCTCAGTGTGGACCCTGCCGTGTCATGAGTCACAGAGCCTAAGGGCCGGGGACCCTGGGCTGGGACATGAATCCTGACAGGGCCTCAGAAGCTGGAGATGCCAGAGAGAGATTTCCCTTAGGCCCAGTTAGGCCAGCTGGAGACAAAGCAGGGCTGTGGCTAATGTCCAGTTCATCTCATCCCTGAATCGTCCTGGGCACTAGTACACAGGTAAGTGTCAATACATGTTACTTTAACTGAGTTTGAAAATTTATTACCCAAAATTACCTTTTTGCAAGTAGCATTTATGCTGTTCGACATATGTCTTAACTACTCACTATTCACCATTCTTTTAAAAGTTTTAATCTGCCATGTCAGCTGTTGAAAGTTCAGTACACTGGTAACAAAGAAAAATGAAAAGGCTAACATTGACTGAGTCACAACCACCTGTTATCTGGTTTACAAGAACACTCATCCTCAGAAAAAAAGTGGAGACTTAGGTGTGATGATGTCCTTTGAAATGATCGGAGTGATAGCAAAATAGCGAACACCACTAACACGCCCCAGCTGGTTAAATAAATTACCCAGGAATGACATGCGGCATCAAGAAAGCAGTTTCGAAGAACAGTGACGACGTGGGGACATGTTAATGACGTAACGCCAAGCACAAGGAAACGGCATGAAACCGTGGAGACGGCACGGTTCCGATTCAGTAACAGACGTTACGTTCCGCAGGAAGATAAACGTAAACCAAAGGTTCGGGGTCGACCGGCAGACGGCGGCTGGTTCGGATCTTCTCTCTGTTTTCCCGCAGTTTCTACATTTTATATAAGGACAACATGTTTCTAAATAGGTGAGGGATGTGAGCCGCAGGCGCCCGAGGCCATGCCGCGGTTAGGGCCTGGGCTGCAGTCCCGTCCGCCTCGGGGGTTGCTGCTTTGTCTTTCAGGAAGTTGCCGTAGACTAGCACTGGCCACCAAGTTCTCTTTGGAGACAGGCACTGGGGCGCCAGATGGGGCAGGAAGGTGGCCGACTGAGGAAGGAACCAGCGGGCCCCACCCCAGAGCAGTGAGGGCCCCAAGATGGCACCCCATGTGGCCTCCTTAAGGAGCCAGAGGTGCACACACTGCAGCACGCTCTCACCCAGGCCTTGGGGACCCATGAAACTAACGGGGAGGGACCCCGTCCTCGGACGACACCGCTTTCTGTTGCATTTGTATTTCACTGCCCTGGAATTGTCCCCATCTCTAGGGAAATCATGAGGAAAAAGGGGGGGACCTGGGAGCCAGTTAAGCATGACCACTCTGCCTCTCATCCGGCCGTGCTATTCCCTTCCGTGGCCGTCTCATGGTCTTGGCCCTTTGGGACGAGCCCCCTCTGGCCTCCCTACCCAGTCCCGCCACCTCACCGCCTCTGGAGATCTTTCTGAGGCCCACATCTGCTGTGGTCCATCTCCTGCAGCAGCTGCCCATTGCCCAGCAGAAAGAATGCAAATATTTCAGCCTGGCACCCCCGCCCCTACCTACTCGTCTCTCCTACACTCCAGGCACACCAAGCTTCCTGTGACATCAGAGGTCCGGCGAGAATCTGGTAGTGTTCAAATCATCCCTGAAAATCCTGGCCACAGCCCATAAAGCACACTCCTTCTGGTTCTGTGTACACAACCCCCTGAAGAGTAATTCTTATGCACCAAGAATTCTTTACAAAACTAAAGTTTAAGAAATCACGCGGAAACGCAGGACAAGCACCTGAGCACCAGCAGCATCCACATGCAGAGGGGTGGGCGTTCAGTCTGCTTCTAGGTTAACTGTCAAACCCCCAGTGGGGACTAGGGTCGGATGGCTAACTCTGAAGTGTTCCGGCAGGAACTACTCCATTCTCACAGAGCAAGCCTCTTCTTCGGCCTCGATGCATGAGATTTCTCTGTTGCATGGAGGATGAAGAGAGTCACTTCTCAGCTCAGTCCACTGGTTAGCTGTGAGAACAAGGTAACTGCAGTGGACCTGCAGCTTCCCCCCAAACATAAGCTCCCGTCACATCTTTGCAGAGATGTGAAGATGCAAAGGCCTGGGATAGTCTCCTGCCTTCATCCTTCCTCTGACTCATCATTTAAGAGCCGACTCGAACATCACCTCCCCTTCGAGTATGCCTTCCTCTTATCGGCCCTTGAGCACTGGCAGTTCGTTACCTAGACTTTCAGTCATATGGCTTGGTAGCTGTTAACCGCACCTTGATTATCTGTTTCCACATCTACTTCTACTGAGCCATGAGCTCTAGAGCACAGTCACAGCATGGCTCCTGGACGTCCCACAGGGAGCCTGGCACACAGCAGAGGAGGAAGGAGTGAACGACGAAGTACAGACAGAAGCTGCAGAGCATGCCTCGGGGGTTTACCAGGTCTCACTTGTCCTTTGTCCCTGACACAGGTAACCCTTCCTTGGCCATGCAAGTCCAACCTGGGCTATGTCTTGAACTCCCTGCCCCACTGGGGCCGAAGATGGTTGTGTAAAAAGCAGCCGGGAGACCGGCTAGAGGAGTCAGTCTAATGCACTTTGAAAACGCACAGCTCTGCCTGCTATTGTGTGTCCACACCAGCCAGGTGGCTACTTGTTCTGTCTGAGGGACAGATAATATTTGAATTGTTTCTATCGTTATCATTGTTATCGCTGGGAGAAGTATATTTAAGAAAAGTAAAAACAATCGAGGCTATGTTTAGCCCTGTGTTTTCCCCCTGAGCTCAGGGAACAGAGAGTGATTTGTTGGGTTGGGTCACCAGACATAAGAAACAGGAAAAGCAAATTTTTTAATGGCAGACGGCCCTGAGCCTCAGGCCCCAGCGTCTCCGCTGCACAAGGGAACCCGTAGGGCTCCGGGCAGAGGGGACTGGGTGGCCCTGCCCCTCCGTTCAGCGTCACTTCTGCACAAACAACTGTAACTCTTTCAAAAGTGACAGTGGCCATGGAGGTGGGGAGCCCACGGCGCAGCACCCCTGGGTCTGGTGGGAAGGGCGAGGCCTGGGCTCTGCGGGTCAGCGAGTCTCTCAGAGCCTCAGTTTCCTCATCTGTAAAATGAGGGACACAGATGGCAACCGCTTCACAGAGCTTTCATGAGAACTACACGGCCACCTCGCACAGTGCCTGCGAGGCCACAGAACAGGCTCTGACTGACCGCGGCCACCGTGAAGACGGCAGCGGAGAACGCTCCGTTGGCTGGGGCTCAGCTCTTGCACACCCGGGCACCAATCTTGGTGGGTGGGTTCTGGCTGGAACGGGAGCCTGTGTGCTCCACACCGGCCCTCTCAAAGTGTGGTTCTGGGACCACCCTCGGGAGCCTCTTTTAGGGTGTTTTCACAATGCAGAGTCCTAGGCCCAGT